AATAAATACTGTTATCTACTAAAAATAATGTTTGAAGAAATATATATGATGGACTCTCTCGTCGCAGATGACAAATGAAAAGGTCAGTAAAATAAAGAGGTGCTTAACTTTCATGGACATGTATGTGTATCCCACAGGTGTTTTTACTTTTAGACATGAAACAACTAGTTGAGGATTAATTGCTACATGTTTCCATGAGTGGACAGCAAGTCCTGCTTTACTGCATACAACAAGCAGGACAGGCATCAACTCCATCAATCTGAAACTTTGTTTTCCCAGGAAGAAAAGAGGATGCTGCATCAATTCTGATTGTCTGAGTTTGTCTCTGGAACACAAGAGTGGCATTCTGACCTGACCTGGTTCTTAGAAGCTGATCAAAGAGGAATTGTTTTGGAAGTCTGTTATTGCTCATACGAGAAAGATGTCCTGCCCACCTGAGAGGAATTTTCATTAGGATGGCTTCAATACCTGTGTTGCATTTAGGTATAACTGAACTATTTCTAATGCAATCACCCAGTTTTTCTGTTGTAGACAGACAAAATAAATATTATTATTTACTAAAAATAATGTTTGAAGAAATATATATACATATATATATATATATATATATATATATATATATATATATATATATATATATATACAGATATATTAGTGGTCAATATATATATATATATATATATATATATATATAAATAAATAATATTAGTGGTCAGTATATATATATATATATATATATATATATATATATATATATATATATATAAATAATATTAGTATATATATATATATATATATATATATATATATATATATATATATATATAAATATTAGTAATTAGTCAATATATATATATATATATATATATATATATATATATATATATATATATATATATATATATATATAATATTAGTTCAATATATATATATATATATATATATATATATATATATATATATAATATTAGTGGTCAATATATATATATATATATATATATATATATATATATAATATTAGTGGTCAATATATATATATATATATATATATATATATATATATATATATATATATATATAATTTAGTCAATATATATATATATACAAAGGTAACCAAAAAAGTTCTGTCCGTTTTTTGATTAGTCATTGAATGAAGTTGAAATATATACGAAATGCTTGTAGCAATTGTTTTCAAATTCAGACAGCCAGAAGTAGGAACATCAGACGTTATAAAAAACACGCACACTGTGTCCGGCCATCAGTTATAAACCGGACAGCTGTGAGAAGCATGGAAGTGTCTAGAGATCTCGTTTAGGGCTGTTTGCTTTACGACTTCAAAGTGGGTTTATCAGCAGCTGCATCAAGTCGCCGCATATGTCAAGTGTTTGGGTATAGTGCTGTGGATAAACGTACTGCAAGGCATTGGTTTCAAAAATTCAAGTTGGAAGATTTGTCTCTCCATGATGAGCCTCGCAGTGGACGACCACAGATCTTGAATGACGGAGGCGGCCATTGAAGAGGACAATAGTCTAACGTGTGATGAACTTGCAAGACAGTTCAACGTTTCCGATGAAACAGTTAGACTTCACCTGCACTGCCTAGGTAAGATGTACAAACTGAGCAAGTGGGTTCCGCAAACACTGTTGGAGGTCCACAAGTGACTACGAGTGGCAGCCTGCGTATCGCTGCTTTCTCACCACCGTACCACATCCTTATTCAATCGAGTGCTTACCAGTGATGAAAAGTGGGTTCTGTACGAAACTCGCAAGCGTTCTAGACATTGGTTGTCTCCTCAGGATGATGTCCCTCACACCACAAGACTGCCTATGCACCCACACAAGATTATGCTTTGTGTCTGGTGGACAGGTCGTCAAGTGGTTCATTATGAACTGCTACCAATGGGCCAAATGATCACTGGAGACCTATACTCGCAGCAATTGAAATGTGTGCAACAGGCATTGTGCCCGAAGGAGCGAGCACTGGTGAATCACAAAGGTGTGCTTTTCCTCCATGACAATGCCAGGCCGCATGTCACGCAAGTGGCGAGGGATACCATACAGCAACTTGGGTGGGAGACCTTGCGCCATCCAATTACCACCTCTTCCACTCCCTGGATAATCATCTTCGTGGGAAATCCTTCACCAGTGAAGCAGACTTGCGCAAAGCCCTCATGGACTTCTTTGCATCAAAAGCCCCCAAGTTCTACTGCAAGGGCATTGAACAGCTGGAGACATGTTGGCAGAAGGTGCTGGATGCTGATGGCGATTACTTCGAAGACTAAATATAAGTTACACATACTGTGAAGCGTTTTCTTTTTTCCTTTAAAAACAGACAGAACTTTTTTGGTTACCTTGTATATATATATATATATATATATCTATATAAATAAATTTCCAAGAGGATAGAATCCAGGTAGAACTCAATGTCTAGGACAGAGTAATAATAAAAAAGCTCAAACACTAATATTCCATGGTTATAATTTATTACATTGGAATCGTAATCATGATCCAATTCATCATTTTATATATATATATATATATATATAGCTGGGTAGCAGTCCCTCTCTAATACATATTACATTAAAAATGAATAAGGTACATCTGTTAAGTTTTTTTTATTGTTTTTCTTGTGTGCAAACAAGATTTCTTTTTTGGAATTGGCATTGTGTAGAAATTGTCCAAATGTTTGTTCATTCCAAGAACTTTCAGCTGATCTCTCTATCCATTTTCAAGGATTTTTCTAGTGCTATTGCAAATGGTAAGTTGTTTCAAAGTAGACACACCTTTTAATTCCCAAATGGCTAGTTTCTATGATAGTGTTTCAAATTAAGAATTTACAGACAGGTAATAAAGAATTTTAATCAGCTAAATTTTCTCCTACAGTTAATCTATTCCACACTTTATATATTCATACAGGTAAATCAAAATGTTCTAATAATTGCTTGATTCAATTCAGTTAAGCTAATGAAAACAATAAAATAGCAATAAGTTTAATTACATCTTTGAGCACTACTTAAAAATGGTTCACTCATGAAAAAAATAGGGTAAAAGTGTTGGGGGATAATTTTTGTTGATTAGCATTAATTAGACATTCTTCAAGCCATAACATTTTTTCAGAAATGAAAAATATTTTTTTTTTACTTTTCAAGAAAAAAATTTTTTTCCTGTTCATAACATCAATACAATATAAAATTGATCGGTGAATTTTTACAAGGTCATTGAACTTAGTTCTTCTGCATATGAAAACAAACTTTTGTTTTTTAACAAAAATAGATTTCTTTTAAATAAAGAACAAACAAATATACATTTTTCATTAAAAAACAATTTACTGTTTATTCTTTATTTAAGGTAAATACTTATTATCCTACAATGTTTTTGCTTTGGAAAAAAATCACCATCACAACAAAGGAAAATTTAAATTAAAATTTCAGAAAATTAAAAAAAAAAAAGAAGCAAAAATTAATGATGTAATTGCAGTTGCAAACTTGACATTTTTAGATAAAAAAAACTATGCCCAATGTTAAAATTTAGGGATTGATTTTTTCATTGTATTGATATTATGAACAGGACCCTACTTCTAGATCAATATTTTTTGGTTCTGACAAATATCATGACTTAAGGAAGGTTTAATAAATGCTAATATACAAGAGTTATTCCTTGAAAAAAATTTTTTCCCTATTTTCTACAAGTGGACCACTCTATTTAATTAGTGCCCAACTTTGTTTCTCGTTAAAGAATGAAAAAAAAAAAGAAATAAGAAAACACTGTAATACTGAATTATCCTTTCGCACATTTACAAATCTACCATTCGTCCATGCATTGTATATTGTTGCAATATCTGGTCAGGTTCTCCTGCTTAAGATTCTTGACAAATTTCAATGAAGGATCTTTAATGTAATCGATCCTGTACATTCTCTTTTCTTGCACTTCTCACCTGTGGAACTCTCTTCCAGTTTCTTGCTTTCCTGTTGTCTAGAATCTTCAAAATTTTAAATGTAATGTCAATCGCCATCTTGTCATCCTGAACTGTTCCTTTTTTTGCCTTCTTCACTTTTCACTAAAGCACTGCCTGTAACCACACCAATTAAATGCAACAAATACAATTTAAAATTCCCCCCCCACCGACACACACACACCAAATTTAAATGAAACTTTAATCACTATCTTCTGTCTTCCTGAATCCTATTCTTTTATTGTCCTTTCTCCTTGTTGTATGGTGTTGTTCTACAAAGCATGATCAGTGGTTAACTTCTTGCCTGTCTCTTAGTTTACTATACACTTTATATCTCTTCCACTTAACGTATGCACATAAGTACAATCTTATTTACCAATCCACTACACTTCTCAATAATATTTTCTCATTCTCTTTCACTCCCAGTAACCCAGTGTTTCGCAAATTTTTTTCTCTGGGCCGCATTTTTGGAATTAAAATTTGCTTGTGTTTCACCAAATTTCATACGATAAAAAAAAAAAAAAAAAAATAAAAAATAACAGAGAAAAGATTAAAAGGAGATAACTGTGGATTTGAACTGTCAGAACAATATCATTGATAACTCTCTCCTCCAATTTGCAGACCCTAGTTACCATATTCTTAATATTTGATAAATATATCACAATGATAAAATCAGTCAATAATTATTTATACCTATTTATACTCAGACTCATGCATGCAAATAATATTTTAAATTTTGAAATCATATTTATTTTTGGTATATGAATTTTTTGAAACTTTCTAAATCTTTGATTATCTTTCAATTATCCCGCCTCACCTGCTTTCCTCTTCTGTCACATCTATGAGGTGCACTGCATCATTTGGAAACCACTTCAGTAACACCTTGTGTCTTAGTGGCATTGTCACCTTGCTTGGGGTGAAATGATTAAAAAAAATAAAAAGTGCTAAGTTTGTTGCAAATAAAGGTTTATGCAGATTTTAATTCCATAATTAATCATTGAAAGCAAAAACGTTTTTCAGATTTATAAACGACTCATGTTTGTACTCACAATTAAATTTTGGTAGCATCCATTTCTGAGACGGATTAAATCTCCCCAGAGAACTTCCTTGCCACAACTGGGACAACAGCCATCAACTGGGATTAATTGTAGTTCAGCATCATTTGTTTTGCGTTGGGCAAGAAAGTGACCAGCCAAACATGTAATATGGCTTACTGCTCGACACTGGACATGGATGCACCTTAAGACTGAATTAGGATCCTGTATATAAAGAAATAAAATAAATAAAACAATGAAAATGCAGAGACTTACATTAACACTAAATTGTTGTATTCACAAAGCTTATGAATTTAGTTTTAGAGGCATTGAAAATAGAGTCTAACATTGTTAGCAGCTTTTTCTAGATGATGTAGGAGAACTATGGCATTGTTAACAGTGTCAGTGATAGCTCGGTCATCTGTATAGTTAATATCTGTCAACTTTTTTGCAGGATATCGACTTCAGAGTTTTGGTAATAAAGTAAAACCCCACAGCTTGATGGATCCATCCCTGATATTTCTACAATCTTATGTGTACACAGAATGCGCTTGGCAGGACACTGCAGGTGAGCAAAACAAGAACTTGCGAGTGACCTACTTAATAAATCTTGTCTTATTGTTACCTTAAAATTGTTCTGCTACCCATTTACTCAAACTCGCTAGATAGGCTATGTTTTCCTCTGTTTGCATTGCCTTTAATATATCCTGTGAGTATCAAAATTTCCAAGCCCTCTTTCTGCATTATGTGCCCCAAAATTTTCCAAATAAATATGACAAGTACAAATGTTCCAACAACAGAGATGTTATTGCCGATAATGTCAGACTACTCCTGATGGACTATCACTTGTACAAGTTGAACTAATTACACTATTATTTTTAAAATCTTTGTGTTAGGAAGCTACATTGATGTTGCAATAACAACAATGATGAGGACAATAGTCTCAATGTAAATAATGATAAATTCTGTTGTGGCAATTACCTCTTTATGTTGTGAGGTGTAGATGTTTTCCAGTACATATCTAATGGCTCCTGGAATGTTTGCCCCACAAACAATATTTAGCAGACTCATGTGAGTTTGGGTAAAAATAAAAAACAAAATACACGGAATTTAAAACAAATGACAATATATGTATTAACACAAAGAAATTACATTAATGTGTACACAATTGAAAGTAAAAGAAAAGACATAAAAAGAAACGTGTTTGTTTGTGTGGTACATGTGTGTATATGTACATGTGAGAGCTCAATAGTCAGTGGACTGGAGAAATGAATGCATCCAACCAGGGGACATGTTAGCTACATGCTACTACATCTTGGAGCAAGAAGAAAAGAGAGAGAGAGAAAGAGGAAGGAAACATCTGCCTTTTTGTAGACTTAAATTGAACCACCTAATGGGCATTTTTGGTGAAGCCAAGTGAAGTAACCCACACTTCTTATCCCAGAAATTCTGATTGATTTTATCACGTCTGTATTAACCAGGATATTAAAGATAATAAAATAAAAATATTGCATAAATTCATACAGACCACTAATTTTTCCAAACACACTGAACAGCATAGCCATTTTTTACTGATCCTTGGTGGAGAAAAGCCATTTATGCAGGACAATGAATTTGCACTGATCTCTGGGTCCATAACTGAATGTAACAATTGCTGGTTCTTTTGTGGAGAGAGTTCAAAAGCTGGTAGTTGGCTTTGTGAAGGTTTAACCTTTTTACGTCGTACTGGTCCATACACAATAGGCATATGCATTGGAGGAAGAAGATTTGGGGGGAACTCCTGTTGATACTCCTGTTTCAGCCAGCGTATGGTGAGGGGAAGCCGATGCCAGGGGCCAGTGCGCAACATTTCACAGACAATTCGAAAACGATACTGATATGCTGATTCAGTACGTTTCTTCTTTGGTAAGTGCTTCAGGCGTCGGGAGGCGTTGGGATTCTGCCAGGCCCATTCAAACTTCATGGAAGAAAATAAAAAAATAAAAAGTGAAAAAAAAAAAAAACTTTCAATACAATTGGAGAGGTGATATATAGCTTCTTAACAGTTAAAAAAAAACTTAGGTAAATTCATTATATCATACAAAATGTGCTATAAATTCATAAAGTCTAGGTACCATAGCAAAGAGTTCATCTGAGCAATTTTAGTGTCATTTTTTAGCCATCTTTCATAAGAATGTAATATTCTTTATTAAAAAAATATCTTCCAAAAATAAAATATACTTTTCTAAAACTTTATTTGAGAAATATTAGCTGATTTAAAGTTTAGTTAATCTGATTTGAAACAAATATTACAGAAATGCATTTTTTGCTTGTTTAAAGTGTTAACAAGTTGACAGCTTGACTGACAGATGAAAGTTTATCTAATTTTTTTCTAAAGTGGATATACCTGTAAATATTTACTTGGGGAGTATAATGTGAGTGCCTTTTTTATGTAATTTTTAACTACTCAGTAATCTTAAAAATTTTAAATATTCTCCGTAATCTAATATTTTATTGAATTTTACATCCTTTGACCTCCAACTCATTACCACTTTTAATTTTGATAATGGCATGCATTGGCATCCTTATTTACAAAAACTGGCATATCATATATAAAAAAAAAAATTTTTTTCAAAAATCTTTTTAAAATATTGGTGTTCAATAAATTGTACTAAGCTTTTCTGTTTATTATTAGTGAATATAGTTTTTACTTACAGATCGTGACAGCTATTAGGGAGATGTGATTAAATATATTTTAATGTTTAAAAAAAATTATTCAGTATTATTATTGTTTAAGTAATAAACATTATAACATAGCACAAATAGCTATATGGTAGAAAAAGGAATTTTTGATAATATACGCATTTTTTAAGTATTGATGATTATTTCTTAACTTTTATCAAAAATGACATTCTTGTCCATATAGTTATGGATAATATTATACATTAATTACAATTTTTTTTAATTAATAACTATTTGTACTCAGTTGTTGACATTAATAGCTATCTGCTGATGTGTTCAAATTTTGGAATCATGCAATAATAAAAATTTAAATTTCATCTGATAGATGTTGTGATCTGTTAATAATAACAACACCTAACCAGCACAATACAGAATTTTAAAAGATTTAAAACATTATAAACTAATCTAATTAATTTTTTTTTAAAGGAAAACAATTTTTATAAAAATTCATTATTAATAGAAAAAAGTTTTTTTCTTAAGACAATAGTGTCCAAAATATATCTTATTTATAAAAGATTTTCTAATTAAATAAGGTCTTAGCTTTATTGCATTTTTTTACTTCATGATTTAGAGCAGACTTTTGGTAAGTGGTGGACATTTTTACAAAAAGAAGTTGATGATTTAAATTTCCAAAGGATTTCTGCTTTTAAGTAATATAAACATTAAGTGGAACAAAATTTAATTTCCAAATCAATGTGTTTTTTACTACAAAACCCCACCCCCAAAAAAACAAAAAAAAAAACTGCTAAAATTTCCTATACTGAGGAAAAAAAAAACAAGATTTTTAACCAAAATTTTGAACGTTCTAAATAGGATAAAAAATATAACCCAGTAATGAAAAAATCCTTTAGTCTGGCCACTTAATAATAACAAAGATTTTGACAATGAAATTTTCTTTTTATTAAGTTTTGGGTATTTCTTTCATTATGATATACTCAATTTTTAGTAAATCAGTGGTAGTACCTATATATATATATATATATATATATATATATATATATATATATATATATAGATAACTATACTCGTTTTCGAAAAAACCCTTGAATTTTTGATTTGCCAATAATCAAATCAATCTCAAGGGAAAAAAAGGTTTTAAAAAAAGAAAGAGCTACAAACATGAAAGTCTGTTGAAAAAAATCGGACAAATGCAGGTTTGAAGCCTAAAGAAAAAACCCCGATATGAGTAAACAACTAACAAAAGAGCTCAATACAACCGTAGAGCAGACCGAGATACACCTAGTGAGCCAGACAAACCTACCTAGATTTCACCTAAATGGATCATCAGGGCAATTTGGCTGACGAGCTTAGCCAAATTTCCCTGACGATCTGTTTAGGTGAAACCTAGATAGGTTTGTCTGGCTCACTAGGTATGTATATATATATATATATATATATATATGTGTGTGTGGAGGGACAAATACAAACAAAAACATCAGTTATAATTATGCCCCAGGTATAATTATATAATTCCCTCAATAAGAACATTATTTTAGTCTGATGAAGTCCTTTTAAAGGATGAAATGTATTACATAGAATTTTTTTTATTTTCATTTTGTCATAGAAGTACCCAACATTACTCAGATATATAGAAATTTACATATATTCTTATATTATTTTTAATGGAGTAGACACTCACTTTATTTATTAACCAGAATATTTATTTATTTTCATCTACCAGCCTGAAAATAAATAAATATACTGTTTAATAAATAAATGGCATAGCTACTCAAATATTGGTATTGACTAAAAATATATATATAACTAGCAGTAGAGCCTGGCGTTGCCCGGGGATGTAACAGTAAGAGATAGATCAAGTATCGACCATCATAAAGACTGAAAAATAAAATTGACAAAGATTATTGTTTAAGGTTGACGGACAAGCATGTCTTAATTAGCATTTTTTTTTTTTTTATTTTTTTTACGAATTGGTCAAACCCAAACTCAAACAAAAACATTGTTTTCAATTGTTATGAGTCTACCGATTGAATATAATTTTATTATAAACAATTGTCTTGTAAATGGAATTTTGAAAGCATTCTGAATGTAAGAATAAAGAAAAAAGTGTGCATGGCAATAAGAAACACTACCTGCCAAAAAAAAAAATAGTGAAGTTTTGTTGAAATCTGTTGAAAAATGTAGGAAATCTGATCCCATATATAAATGAACACACACACACATACACACAAACAACCTGGGTTTTATAATAAGTATAACTCGATATGAGTTGTCTCCCTTTCATTCTTGCGACAGCGATGCCTGTTAATCGTGTTTTCAAATTGATTTCTTGCAAAAACAATTGTGTTTTTCCCATTTTTGGTGCTGTCAGAACCACCGCAAGGTAATTTTACGTAGTTCTGTGAAGTTTTGTTGAAATCGGTTGAAAAATGTAGGAAATCCGATCCAATATATAAACGTACAGACACACACACACCCTGGGTTTTATAATAAGTATGATGTATATTTGGGCAGCAACATTTCTTTCATTAAGTATAACAAACAAGGAAGATTTTATTAATTTTTCATTTAGTTTTCCCCAGCATCCTTATGCTTTCCTGTTTTGTAGGAGTTAAGGAGTACAGAAATTTCCCATAATTTTCATTGTCCCAAGTGCTTTTGACCACTTCTTTAGCCATTTTCAAGGGGGTTTTGTTTTTTGGCGTTGTTAGTTTTTCTTTATGTTTTTTGACTATTTAAGTTATAACGAGAAAGAGTTTATTTGCCTTGGTAATTTAACCATCGGAATTTTTTCTACTTTTGTAAATGGTATGTAACAAAAAATTAAATTTAAGTAAGAAAACAAACAAATTTTTTTTTTTTTTTTTTTTACTATAGTGACATATTTCAGTTTAAGGGAGAAAATAGGACTGTTTTAATAATAAAATTGTATGAAAAACTGTCAAAGTATCAGGACAATAAACAGTGGAATGATTAACATACACAAAGAAAACAAAAAGTTTAATGATAAAATGAAAGAAAACAACATTGGACATTTCTCTTTCTCTTCTAACCCTAACCCTGCCCTATTATGAAAGGGGGGGGGGAAACAAAACAATATTGGATCCCAGCTTTACAGGCATTAACATGACCTTAAAAAAAAAAAAAAAAAATTTGTCCTGGGTAGAAATTTTACATTCTGTGGGTAAAATAAGAAACGAATGACTCACGATGCCCCACATCACCCCTAACTAAACAGAATGTGAATAAGTTTCTCAATTTGAGTAGTTGACCTTTTCTGTTATTTTCAACACTTTAACATTTTGAACTCTTCAGTTCTGAAAACCAGATTAATGGTGTGTGTGTGTGTGTGTGTGTGTGTGTGTGTGTGTATATATATATATATATATATATATATATATATATAAAAAATACATAAAAGGTTAAAGATCAGAGTTGAACCGAACCAGACCAGAAACAGTAGTATTAAAAAGTGCCCAATACATGTGTGAAAAAAAAAAACAAAAAAAAAAACATGTAGAGCTTTTAACTTTAAAAATTAGGAGATCAGTTGAATCCGATAGCTTGGTTTCAATCTTACGGTATCTTCAGGCAATTTTTATCAACTGACCTCCCAATACATTATTTTTTAAAAAACTAATGAACGCTATATTATTTTTTTGAAAAATAAATAAACAAATGCACAACGTTGGGTGTGATAGAAAGGAGGAGGATGTGAATAAGAAGAAGGGGGAAAAGAAGAAAAGCAAGGGTATTATAAATGTATTGGGGGGGGGTAATTGAAATGTACAATTATTTTTTTTATTCAGCCTCATATGAGCTTAAGAGGAATTTTTAATATGTATGCAAGGACTCATGACTTCGAATTTCTGGTTCAAAAATTTCTTTGGATTTGAAAATGTCATTATTGCTAATTTTTCCTGTTATATTATTGTGGCTGTTTTAAGGCTTTGCCTTTTTTTTTTTTAATTTTCTACATATATATATATATATATATATATATATATATATATATATATGAAGAAAAATATATGGAAAAAACAAAACAAAATTCTTATATACAATTATGCTGTTTTAATGTTAATATGTCAGCGTCGGACGTTTTAGGTCTAATAAACCATCTTCAGGACATATTCATAAATATAACATTATCAATACAACATGACAAAAGACAATGTACATAAAAACAAGACTTATCCAAACAAATAACTGAAAGTTTTATAAGATTAGCGCTCCGTTTAAAACAATATATAAATATAAAATGGTCACTGAGGTCCA